TTTTTTTTTTTTTCTCAAGGAAATGCGGGAGCCTAGTCTTGTTTCTCTTGACTCGATTCTTGCTCGTGCCCTTAACAGCAAGGACTTTTCCATTTCCTGCTGTTCAATCACGACGCCCAAGCCACGTCGCTTTATCCATTTCCTCGTCGATTCGCTTCGCTCTTGCTTTCATCCTTCTCCCCCTTTTCTTTATTAGCCTGGTTATTTGCTTTGTCGAAATTTCTGATCTCTATCGTTCGGCTTCCTTCCGTTTCTGAGCATTTCTATCCCTTATTTATTTATTTATTTATTTATTCATGTAGCAAGGGAGAAAGAGATATAGAGATGTAGTCTACGAAAGAAGAAATAAAACCACGTGGCACTGACTCTGTCTATATTGGTGTCAAAAAAATTTTAACAATCCCGAAAGAGGTCCGTTTTGTCGCATTGTTTGGGTTACGAATTCCAGCGGCGGAAACGAAACCATCTAACAGAACTATAGAGGTGAAAAAATCATTCTTTTCGAATTTCTGGTTCTCAGCCTGCGTGCCGCCAAATTTCTCATGTTAAAATGAAAGAAAATGTAGTTTGTTGTTATTACTGAATTTTAATACCGTATTAGTAATCAGTTAATAACTCGCGACACAATTATTCGATATTGACAAATAAAATCTAGATTCATTTTCAATTTATTCAACCGTGCCGCCAAAGTTTGTCGTTGTTACTAAAATAAATAAATATATTTTCTGTTAATAGCTCGTGGCACAATTATTTGATAAGTAAGATGTAAGTAGAATCTAGATTTATTTACACTTTACATGAAATCCAGATTTATTGGTATGGTTTTCCAATTTATTCAGTGCGTGAATGTTCCGCTCGAATGTGTAATGCGTTACGCAATCAGAATTTCCGACTTTCGAAACAATTTTCTATTTAGCTGTTCGCTCTATATTTCATCCTGTAATCTCGCTCTCTCTGCGAGAGACGCGCACGAGAAACGATGGGAGATCACTCACCTGGAGACAGTGTCTCCTCGCGAGCCAGCCGATATGTTGAAGCTGAGGCGGATCCGGAAGCGCGGAGGCCAGTCGCAGCGCCTTCAGAGTGAGTGCCGCCAACGCCGAGTGCAGAGCGTTGAACCATACGCTCGCCTCCGCGTTGTCCGCTGCTCTCAGCCAGCACTCATGCACGCCATCCGGTGAATGGAGTTCCAGGATTCGACCCTCTGAAAGCAGAAAAAAGAAAGGAGTCGTGTTAAAGAGTCGCTTCTCCTCTGCTGGATTTTTTTCTTTTTTTTTTTATTCCATCTGATGAAAACAAAAACTATCGCACTCGCTGTTTCGCTTGTTGTCAAAGTATTCTTCAACGAAGTTCAAGTTCAGCGCCGTTAAGAATTCTTTCTTCTCACGGAGAATATTCCGTTTGAATTTGAGATATTTTCTAATCTCGAGGAAACTTTTATCTCTTTTTTTTTTTTTTTTTTTTTTGGTGCTCAAGTTGAAATTTCTCGAGGAGCAAAAAAGCAATCGCGCAGCGATTTTGTTTGATACAAATAAAGAAACTTCCCGCTAAAAACCTGACGTATTTTCCAACACGTTCGGAAATAATACGATTACGAGGTAAATTTAAGAACTCCTCCGCAAGGTCGAAGTTGAAACTTCGGCCCAAAATTGGAACTTTAGTAGTAGCTTTCGGATCCGGCTTTCTCCTCTTGTTCCAGTCCAGAGGAAAGAATCGTAACGTTTTCGAGAAGCGAGAAGTTCGACGTGAGAAATATCAATAATATGAATTTTCCCTCTGAGGAACGTTCCTCTCCCGAACTTCAGATACACACACACACACACATACACACATATATATATTTTTTTAGTCAGCGAGAACACGACATGCTTGAATATTCCGTTTTATTGAAACGTCAAAAACGCCTCCGAGGACGAGGTAGGCGAGGTAGGGGAAACCTTGTCTGAAAAAGATATCAAACCTGACAGATGTTTCAGCCCGAAACAACCCTCGATGGAAGGTTGTGTTCCTCTCCTCCTCCTCCAGCGAGCCTCGTCCCTTTACCTCTAATATCCCTCGATCCAGACAGCAGAGGGGCTATCAGGTTTCGGACTTAATAGTTTTCGCATCACGGGCCCGGACAACATTATAAAGGCGCCATATAACTTGGCGAGTGGATGACAACTCAATTTCAAGTTGAGCCTGACGTTGTTGCTCGCGTGCACCGACTAATTCGAAGCTGAAGGCATCGGTGCGAGCAGTTTCAAGTAACGCGCACGCGCCCGTAAACTTTCGCCGGGGCGAAACGAAAAAACTTTCTTACTCGAATTCCTCTCGCGTTCCCAATGTTTAATATTTTTGATAGCCCGCGCCCGGATGGAACTTCGCCCGAAGAGAAGTTGCCCGCTGCGTGCGGAAATTCCGTATCGATTCCACACTCCCCCACACCCTCCCCAAAGCTTCGCGAGCTTCGAAGTTCAGCTTCGAGGCGAAATGAGACGAGAGTCGAGAACGTTCGGCAGTTTCTTTCGAGAAATCAGAGCTGGACGTTGACGAGAAGGCGAGGCAGCATAATTGGACAAATAACCATGAGAAATTGTCGATATTTTAAATCGATTATTACCTTCGAAAAATGATTACACTCTACTTTTCATGTAAAGATACTTTTATCTTCGAGAATTTTATCGTCGAAATTCAACCGTGTCTGAGAACATTGAACAATTTTTTTTTCACCATTACTACTGACCATTTAATTTATATATTACAATTAATATATTAATTAATTTATTATAATTAATACGTTAAAATATAATATTATGAAAGTATTGAACATGTTGTAGGTAGTTAATTTATAAGTTAAATGTAGTATAAGTATACGATAAAAATATCTATTTTTACATTTCTATTTTGTTGTTGTTTCTTGGAGTGTGAGGATGAACGATTGAACACATTGCGTATATAACACAAACATTTCGAAGATCAAGACTTTCCGTTTACAACGACCACTTACCACAACTTGCTATGTACGATTTTTGTCCACCATTTTAACGTTGGAGTGAAACGACAAAAAATTCAAGAAATTCTAACATTTCGTTTACTCTTTACGCTTTAGAATGAAAACAGATACGATTTTTTTTCTTTATGTAGTTACAACAGATTGATCAGTTATGCTGCTCGCTGTGATTAATCAAATGAAACGTTTATTATATCCTTATTATATCCGTTCATTCGTAATGATGCTAATTAAGCAACAACATATTTGGAAAATAAACTGCTTTATCATTCGTTTATCGGGAGAAACAATTTCCTTTCAATCGTCGCGTATATTCCTTATTTTGAATCATTTGCAAACAACTCACTTTTCAATTATATTACATTACTACATTATAAATATTCGATTACATTATTTTGCGAATGATACGATTCGAAAATAACACAATTGAATATTTACAATGTAATGATGTAATATATCTGTATTCGTTCTTATTTCGGAGTAAACTCGTTTCTCGAACTTTCGAGCTGTTGTTGTTCTTGTCCATTTCGTTCGTTGTTTCCACGTCGAATGAAAAAGAAGGAAAAAAAAAAAAAGAAAAACATCCCCAACCAAGTGTGCAAGAAATAAAGAAAAGCGAGTGGGAGGAACCTGAGAAGCGAGAGCCAAGATGGATATGGATTTAAACCGCGAAACGAAGAATAAGCGGTATCGGAGACAGGCTAAACGGGACCACCCTCGAGATCTAAACACCGCCCTGTATCCGGTTACCCTTCGTTCGTGGGAATGGGTGACAGGTAGCGAAAGCAAGGGTAACAAACGTCCGCCGTCTCTTATACAAAGTATCCACTTCCACGTTCGTTTTTCTTCCCCACTTTTAAGCGATAACGAACGTTACCGGTCCCTCGAGGGGATGCAAGATTGCTGTTCCCAGCAAGCTGGGAGATGAAATTCCAAAAAAAAAGAGAAAATTCCTCGCTGAGAGGACATTTGAATTTTGTCTTGAGAGATGGACAGAATGAATTTCTAATTGTTCGAAGAACTTCGAACCTCGCGGTATAATCTCATTTGCTCGAAGGAGGTTTTCGTTGAAATTTAATCGAGCCGAACGTGAACTTACGTTCGATCGTGTGAGAAATCATAGACCACATGTGGAGGACTATCCAAGAAGTTAATTTTGGATAAAACCAAAATGGTATTTCGAGTGGACAACGAGCGTAAATCCCCCATGAAATAAATTTATATCAACACAACACTGGACGCAAGATTCAGAACTCTGCGATTGTAGTTTTCCCAATTCACCGTCTACGATTATTTGTAAAGAATTTTTAACTTTTAAAATTCTAATCATTCCTGTGGACTAATTTTAACACAGAGCGACGAATACTTTTAACACGCGGAGTGAAAGAGCGATGCAACGTAAGACGAAATCGTAACCGCAATGAAACCGGAGGCACATTGGAAAGATACAAAGGCGGAAAAGCGCGAGAAAACAGCCGACGTTGGGTGAGAGGGAGAGGGAGAGTGTCTGTTTCTCAAGCTTATCGTCTGACTTTCGCCGGTGCCACAAAGCGGGGCTTGGTTACGTGGCTTTCTCCGCGAAGTAGACGCGGCCGATTGGTCAGACACAGGGGAGGGATACATTACTCGGTGGAAACGTGAAACCGAAAGCCGGAATCCTCTCTCGCGTCGAATGGCGGATAAAGAGAAAGGGGGAAAGCGGATGGAGTCACGTTTAACGATTCGTCGACGTATCGCCAGACTGTGGTTAACGCTCGCGTGAAAAAGGAATAAAAAAAAGAAAAAAAGGAGGAAGACATAAAGAATGGAAGAGCCGCGCCAGCAGATGAAGGAGGAGGAGGTGAACCGATGAAAGGTTTCGAGATACGATGCTTCTTCAAAAACAAAGAGAATGACTGGCATAAAAAATAAGCTTGATAAAGTTTCGCTTTGGAAGGGTAAGACACGAAGATAATGACGAAGAAGATGATCTTTCAGTATGTTCTTTGTTCCCTGTAACTTGACAGAGGACGAGTTCATGCAGATTTGTATTTCCCTGGACGAAGTAATTGTATTTCTGTCACACGAGTGGAGATACTCTTTCTGTAACATTCGTAGTTTGTACGTTACGTACGTATGTCTTTCACCTTGCTCAAACTTCTGATTAATTAATCGTGTAATTAATTCTTCTGCAGGTTCAGATTTTCATAAACGTGATACGACTAGGTTTGTCTTACGCATGGATATTATACTTGTTCTGTAAATTTCTGTATCTCGAGATCTACCGCACGAATAAATATCATCCATCCACTGCGGAATCCAACGTCCGCGAAGCAAATCGTAAGATAAATTCTAGTAGAAGTAAAAATAAAATTGCAGAAGCCATTTAGACGAAGACAGACTGTAGCGTTTTCTATCCTACGATATCCTACATATACAAGACAATCTTCTATTCCTTCTTTATTACGTTCTTAGGAGTATGAATTCCCGTAAAAGTCCGCACCGGTAATTCCACCATTAAACCATTAAAAAAAAAAAAAAAGAAAAAAAGAAAAATCACACCC